CTAAAGTAAGGTACAAAGTGTGATCCATGAGGAGATGTGCTATATTCCAAAAGAATTACATAATTTTTCCGATTTGGGAATATGTGTGGAGTTGGATATTAAGGGTATGGAATAATGATGGAAGAAACAAAGTTGGATCAGACTCAATTTATTGATATGGGCCCATAAAACAGATTCTGGATTTAATGTTGCAGTTTAGGGGATTAGAAAGTGCTCTAACAGCACAGGGTTGGTTGGATTATGAATGAAAAGATAGCCTATAGTAAATAACATTAAAATGTCAGACCTATGTTGGTATCAAGGAAGGGATCCAAAGCTTTAGAAAGATTGAAAGGTTAGAGCAGATTAATCATTTAAGACCTTCACCCACCCTGACAAGAGTCTAGAAAACACACTTTACCATGACTGTGAGAAATTTGTGAGGGGAGCCCTAGAATCCTTGAAGAGCTCTATGATTGCTCTTTCCTGCAGTTCTGAAATTTCCCTACATTGAATTGGGAAACTTAAATCCAGTGAGAATAAGCAGGTAGCAGCACTTAAATGCCAAAGGCAAGGTGGGAATGGTCACCATAGTGGACAGCAGAGTCAAACCAGCAATCAGAATTGTGTGATCCATGGAAAGACCTGTGGTTCGACTAAGTTGGTCCTTGAGTTCCTAGAAGTGAAATACATGTCTACTAAATCATTACTTGATCTATATAAGTAGAAGAACTTAGATCAAGTGAACAAAAGTCTAATTTGAATTACAAAAATGGAGTCTTGGGCTTGGCGCCTGTGGCTCAAATGGCTAAGGTGCCAGCCACATACACCTAAGGTGGCGGGTTCAAATCCAGCCTGGGTCCACCAAAACAACAATGACGGCTGCAACCAAAAAATAGCCAGGCGTTGTGGTGGGCGCCTGTAGTCCCAGCTACTTAGGAGGCTGAGGCAGGAGACTCGCTTGAGCCCAAGAGTTGGAGGTTGCTGTGAGCTGTGATGCCACAGTACTCTACCCAGGGGGATAGCTTGAGGCTCTGTCTCAAAAAAAAAAAAAAAAAGGAGTCTTGGTGCCAAACAACAATGACAACAAACTTGAGCTAATTTACAGATCCATTACCCCTTGAACAAAGAGGAAATTAAGTCTCCTTGAAGAAGGATCTCACTATACTGCCAAAGATGTAGACCTTTGAGTCTTTCAGCCTTGCCCAAAAGAACACATGACCTTTTCTTGGTGAAGGGTAAATTGTTGCATCTGTTATCTCCTACAACCAAGAAAGAGGTACAACCCCTAGTAGGCCTCTTTGGATTTTAGAGTCAATACATTGGGGCAGGGGGCTGGGGAGAGCTTGGTGCCTGTAGATCAAGTGGCTAGGGTGCCAGCCACATACACTGGAGCTCGCAGGTTTGAATCCAGCCTGTGCCGCCAAACAACAATGACAATTACAATTACAACAACAACAACAAAAAAGCTGGGCGTTGTGGCAGGCACCTATAGTTCCAACTACTTGGGAGGCTGAGGCAAGAGAATCACTTATTATTATTATTATTTTTACATTTGTAGAGTTTTATTCGAGTATGCATTTTCTGAAAAGAATCGCTTAAGCCCAAGAGTTTGAGTTTGCTGTGAGCTGTGATGCCATGGTACTGTACCCAGGGCAACAGTTTGAGACTCTGTCTCAAAAAAAAAAAAAAAAAAAAACACATTAGAAGGGAGGAAATAATCAAATTTTGGGGGGTTACTGGGCACTGGCTCTACCAGAGTTGTCAAGCTTTTTCTCTGCTGCCCATTGGAAGAATAAGAATTGTCTTGGGCCACACGTTAAATACACAAAGTTGTTGAGCAAAACAAATGGCCCATGCATACTTTTCATGATATCTGATACCACAGTCCTCAAATAATCTGCGTGTAGCCCATGGGCCACAGGTTGGACACCCCTGCATGACTGACACTAATTCCAGGAAACCAGAAATATCACTGTGATTCATCATTCAGAGTAGGAACTTAGGGCAATCAGGTGATCAATGGATTTTTAGCTTTGTTCTATCTCACAGTGAGTTCCCAAAGTCATCCTGTGGATATTTTTACAGTCTGGGAATTCATATTTGGAATAGACATACTTGGCAATTGACAGAATCCCCACACTGGTTCTTTGACCTGAAGAGTAAGGGCTACTACAGTGGAAAAGGCCAATGAGGAACTACTAAATCTGCTTTCACTTAGGAAAATGGTAAACCAAAGTCAATTGCATTCTTGGAAGGATGGCAGAAATTAGTGCCACAATCAAGGACTTGAGGTAGGCAGGAAAGATAATTCCCACCCCATCTCCATTCGACTCACCTATTTAGCCTGTACAGAAAACAGATGATTCTTGGAGACTAACAATGAATTATTAGAAGCTTAATTATGTGGTGACTCCATCCAGATGCAGTTTGATTGCTTGAGCATATCCTCTGGTATCTGATGTGCAGCTATTGATCTGGTAAATCTTTTTTTCTGCGTACCCTTTAGTAAAGACCACCAGCAGCAGTTTGCTTTTAGCCAGTAAGGCCAGCAAAATGCCTTCACTGTCCTGCCTCAGGGGTTTATCAACTTTTCAGCCCTACATCATCATTTAGTTCACAAGATTAAAAAAAAATTTATTGATGCATAATAGATGTACATAGTTTCAGGGTACATGTGATTATTTAATGCATTCAAATAATTTGTAAAGATCAAATCTATCAACTTGAATATTTATCTTTTCTTTATATTAGAGCCATTCATTAGGCCACAGGACTTTGATCAACTTTCCGTTTCACAAGACATTACACTGGTCCAATACTTTGATGACATTATATTGACTGGACCTAGTGAGCAAGCAGTAGCAACTATTCTAGATTTATTGGTAAGACATTTGCATGCCAGAGGGTGGGAAATAAATAGTAAAATCCAGGGGCTTTTACATCATTGAACTTTCTAGGCATCTAGTGGTGTGAGGCATGTTCAGATATCCTTTCTAAGGTGAAAGATAAATTGCTGCATCTGGCCCCTCCTATAACCAAGAAAGTGACAGAATACCTAGTACCTAGTACGCCTCTTTGGATTTTTTTTTTTTTTTTTTAGAGACAGTCTCATTTTGTCGCCCTTGGTAGAGTGCTGTGGTGTCACAGCTCACAGCAATGTCCAGTTCTTGGGTTTAGGCAATTTTCTTGCCTCAGCCTCCCAAGTAGCTAGTACTACAGATGCCCTCCACAACACCTGGCTATTTTTTTGTTATTGCAGTTTGGCCAGGGCTGGGTTCAAACTGCCACCCTCAGTGTATGTGGCTGGCGTCCTACCCACTGAGCCACAGGCACCGCCCACTTCTTTGGATTTTGGAGGCAAAAAATCATTGTAACCATTCCCACCTTATCTTTAGCAATTATGTGCCAATAATGTTGTTGAATTTAGGTTTCATTTGGAGTAGCACATTTGGGTGTATTGCTCCAACTTATTTACTATGTGACATGAAAAGGTGCTGGTTGTAAGTGGAACCTAGAACGAGAGAAGTCCAGGTCTGGCTACCATTCAAGGTCTTCTGCTACTTGGGCTGCGTGATCTATCAGATCGAATAGTGCTTGAAGTGTCAGTGTCAGAGATGTCCTTTGGAGCCTTGACAGGCACCTATCTGTGAATCACAGCATAGGCCCTTAGGATTTTGGAGCAAAGCCCTGTTATCCTTTGCAAATAACTACTCTCCTTTTGAGAAACAGCTTTTGGCTTGCTACTTGAGCCTTAGTAGAGCCTGAACACTTAACCAGGGGCCACCAAATTACCATGTGACTTGAGCTACCCATCAGGAACAAGCTGTTTTCTGACCATGCCATGAAATTGAACATGTACACCAAAATTCCATCATCAAATGGAAGTGATATTATATAAGGATCAGGCTCAAGCAGGCCTTGAAAGCACATGTAAGTTACATGTAAAAGTGGCTCAAAAGCCCATAGTCTGGGCTCAACACCTGTAGCACAGGGGTTACAATGCCAGCCACGTACACTGAGGATAGTGGGTTCAAATCTGGCCCGGGCCAGCTATACAACAATGACAATTGCAACAAAAAATAGCCGGGCATTGTAGGGGGCACCTGTAGTCCCAGCTATTCTGGAGTCTGAGGCAAGAGAATTGCTTAAGCCGAAGAGTTTGAGGTTCTGTGAGCTGTGATGCTATGGTGCTCTACCAAGGGCGATATGGTGAGACTCTGTCTCAAAAAACGAAAAACAAACCCATAGTCTGCACTCCTGTGATACTACTTTCTCTCTGCCAGACTGAAACCATGGCTTATGGGAAGTTGGAAGGGAAAATTCAGACTTGGTTTACAGATGGTTATGTGTACATGCACCACAGCCCCATTCTGGGACAACCCTGAAAGACATTCCTTTCTACAAATGATAGAGAGCTGTGGAAGTCTTTTTCTAGATAGATCACACTGGCTGCCATGGGAAGAATGGTCTGACCTACGGGTTTGGTTCAGATTTGGGTCCAGGTCCTAGATCAGGGCCTAGTCTGGTCTGTGGGTCAGACTTGTGCACTAGGGAAGAAACCTCATCTGTATACCTGAGATTAACATGAAAACCTGAGGATCTGCCTGTGTATTTTGCTCAGTTTGGGCTCCCCAGAATAGGGCCTAGTTTAGTCTTTGGATCGTACTGAGACCCAGGAGAAGACCTAGTCTTGATATCTATCAGACTGGGAGGACCTATGCAAGACCTGCTTCCTAGTGAAGTTCCGTACATCCAAACATAAATTGAGGCTTTCACAGGAGTTGAGGGAAAGAGAACAGAGAAAATAAACTAAGAATAAATTGTCGAAAGCAATTTTATTATTTAAGTGAAACAGAAAGAACATTCTAAGAATTCAACAAGCAATAATTGACCAAGAATGGGCCTGCTGCTGAGCCTATAGTCTGCTCAGGAAATTCTGGCCAGTCCCCTAAGTACTGCCTGCTTATCTCTTGTTCCTACAGATCACATCCCCAACTTCCCATGTTGATAAAGTTCTCTTACCCTGGCAGTTTTCTTTCCACTCTCATGTTCTGCAATCTGTTTGGTTTATCTCTAATCTTCTGGGCTGATTCTTTTCCACAGAGCATCTTTTCTACATATTGCCGGATCTCCTTAGTCCTTACCCCATAAATGACAGGATTCAAGGCTCCTGGGAGCAGCAAGTATATGGCACTGAGAAGATTCTGGACATCCTGAGAAACATTCCTAGCTACTCGGAAGACAATGGAAGTGGAAAGACCAGAGAGGTAGATGGTGAGGATGACTAACAAGTGGGAGCCACATGTATGCAAGGCCTTGGCTCGGGCTCCCCCTGAAGAGATGTGGAAGGCAGCATAAATGATGCGGGTGTAGGAAGTCCCTAACAGGGTTAGATCAAAGGTCACAGTGACCAATCGCATAACCAGCCCCAACCAGTTGTTGAAAGTCAGGTCTCCACAAGCTATGCTTAGTAGTGCAATGTACTCACAAGCAAAATGTCTTATCACTCCTGTTCGGCAGAATTGAGCTTGTGCAGTTAGCACCACCAAGGGCACTGCCACTCCCAGGCTTCGTGTCAGGACAAGAAGGGCCAGGAGGCCCAGCAGACGGGAGGTCATTAGGTTAGTATAGTGGAGTGGGTGGCAGATGGCCATGTAGCGGTCTAGGGCCATGGCCAGAAGGAGGTTGTAGTCCAAAAGAAGGGTGAAGTAGATGAAGAACATCTGGGTCAGGCAACCATCCAGTGATATGGGGTTAAAATAACGTACAAAGCCCTCTAGCATTTTAGGTATCACAGTTGTAGCAGCACAGATATTGACAGCCAGGAGGAGAGCAATGAGCATATACATGGGCTGATGCAAGTTTCGCTGGGCAACCACTATGTGGATGATCAGGGCATTGGCAGAGATGATGGTCACATAGAAGAAGATAAGAGGAAGGACCAGGAAGAGTCGCCATTCTTGCAATCCAGGGAAACCCACCAGGAAGAAGTTGGTGTAGGAGATGTTGAAGGTGCTGGTATTTCCATCCTCACCCATTAGTTTTGGCCCTAAGCAGGCACCAGGAGTGGAAATTAGAGGCTGTTAGAACAAAATGGTCATTGGAACAAAGCCTATTTCTATTTTAGGGCTTGAGGAGTTTGTGATAAAAACCCACCTTTTCACATATGTATTCCTTTGGAGTATAGACAGGTACTATGCCAGGTGTTGTGGGAGCTACAAAGATGAGCAAGACATTCCTTGTCCTCAGGGAGCTCTTGGCCTTATGTGTGTGAAATGTAAACTTACAAGATACTTATTGCTTGTGGTGTTCCAGATACAGTAAAACCTTGATAGTTGACCAAATCCCTACATTGACCACCTCCTTAAATTGACCTAATTTTCATAGAATGGAGATACACCACATGTACTAAGGCCTAGTTCCTTATGTTGACTATCTCCATATTGGCCAGTTTGTTACAGTTCCTTGGGTGGTCAAAATTTTAGAGGTTCTACTGCATTTAATAGCTGAGTAAAACATAAAGAGGAAAAATAAGTGTGGTATACAAGGGGGATAAAAGAGTGGTGGCTAGAGGTGACATAAGATGAATTAAGAAGAGAAGAGGTCAGAAGAGGTGGAGCAGGATGGCCTACTAGAACTCTCCAGTCATTGTCCACCTATAAGAACACCAAATTGTACATCCATGCAAAAAAGCACCTTCCTAAGAACCAGAAAAGCAATCACAGTACCTGGTTAGGATATAATATCAAGTATGTTCAGAGGGGCATGGAAAAGGTCAACCCAAGACAGTGGAACATGGAGAAAGAACTTGTACTTGGGAAAGGGAAAGCAAAGTGAGTATGGAACTTTACATTAGAACTCAATACTGCACTGTCACAGTGGAAGAATCCAGGGCAGAATTCTGCCAGTTGTCTCAGAGGAAGCATTCAGACCAGCCCTGGGCAGAGGAGATTTCCCCACCCTAGCTGGAGGAACTGAAGTTCCAGCTGGCTTCACAATGAGCTGTCTAAAATGGACTGAGGCCTGGAATAATTTGAGTGGGAGGCAGCCCACAAGGACTGCAGTCCTAGTGTAAGTTCTGCTGCTGCTCTGGTTTTGGAGGCAGTGGACTTGGGGTGCAACCCAGTGAAACCACAGCTGTGGTGGCTAAGGAAGTGCTTGTGTCAACTCTGGGCAAATCAGATTCAGGAATGACTCCTTCTGTTTTGGGAAAGGAGAGGGAAGAGAACAGAGAAGTGTGTCATGTGATTTGGTAAATCACAGCCACAGTAAATAATAAGTACCAGGCAGGATCCTAAAGCCCCCAATTCCAGGTCTTTGCTCCTGGATGGCATTTTTAGATCCATGCTTGTCCAAAAGAGAATCTGTTGTCCTAATGGGATGGACCCAGTTCCAAAAGGATTCACCACCTAATGACGAAAGTGGTCTTGGGCCTTGAATAAACAAGAGTGGCAGCCAGAAAGTAGTGGTGGTGAGCCTTGGGTTGTTGTAACCCAGCCCGTTCACATGCCCTCCTCTCCCAGGATGGCAGAGAACGTGCTTCTCAGCCCATTCCCAGGCCCCTTCCTTACCCCTAGGGTCATCAGGAACAGACTTCAGAACAAGAACCCAAACTGTAACCATTGTTACTCAAACTGTAACTTTCACTATCTGAACTGTAACCGTTGCTACCGTAACCACTGCCACCCAAGCTGTAACCATTGATACCTAAACTGTAAACCCAAACTGTAACCCTGCCGACAGTGCCCTGCCAATGGCAATGTTCCTTGTACACAGAAAAAGGTTTAAAAGACAAAAAACTCTGCACTTCGGGGCTGCTTGTCTTAGGACAATGGCCCTCTGCGCAGGTGCAAATAAATCACCAATTATTTACATCAGAGTGGGTCCGAGTTTATTTTTCCAGGCTTATTCCAGGTTTATTCCAGGCTATTTCAGGGTAAGCTCCAGTATTATGTGGATTTGCATGGCTTCAGGTATGACCCTGTACAGTGCCAGTTGTGTGGCCATGAGAGTGCCCACATTACCGCTCCCTGAATTCCAGGTGGCCCAGCATGGATAGTGACTCCTGACTGGGGAAAGAGAGGGAAGATAGTGAGAGAAGCTAGTTCTCATAATGTGAGAAATTCTCCCTTATTTTACCTAAGTCCACCAAGGCTATGTATCTAAGAGTCTGTAAGAATCACAGAATCCTAGGCTTAGGACATTCCCTAGTGCTGAAATAACTGCAGACTTAGGTCACAACACTTAATCCCCCTTGAATTCATGGAAGACCCTCTCAATGATGAATAGGTACAAACAAGCCTGTGTTTATTCCAAATTGTGAAGACTGGAATAAATACCTAACTCTGCAATGTGCTGGCACTGATGAATGTCTATAAGTACCAAGAACATTCAGGGAAACATGATCACACCAAATAGACTACATAAAGTACCAGTGACCAATCTTGGAGGGACAAAGATATGTAACCTTTCAGACAAGGGAATTCAAAATAAGCTGTCTTGAGGATGCTTAATGAACTTCATGTTAACACAGAAGGATCAGAATCCTCTCAGGAAAATTTATCAAAGAGATTGAATAAAAAAAAAATTCAAGCAGAAATCCTGGAGCTAAGAAATTCAGTTGACAAACTGAAAAATGCATTAGAATCTCTTAACAGCAGACTTGATCAAGCAGAAGAAAAGATTAGTGAGCTTGAAGATAGGCCATATGAAAATACATGATCAGAAGAGAAAAAAGAATAAATAAAAAGAATGAAGCATACCTATAAGACCTAGAAAATAGATCAAAAGGACAAATCTAAGAGTTACTGTCCTTAAAGACAATGTAGAGAGAGAGATAGGGGTAGGAAGTTTATTCAGGGAAAAAACAACAGAGAAATTCCCAAACCTAAAGAAAGATATGAACATTCAGGTACAAGAAGGTCAAGAACACCAAGTAGATTCAACCCAAATAAGACTACCTCAAGGTACATAATAAACTCTCAAAAGGCAAGGGTAAAGAAAGGATCCTAAAAGCAACAAGAGAAAAGGAGCAAATAACATATAAAAAAGCTCCAGCATTTCTGGCAGTAGATTTGTCAGGGGAAACTTCACAAACTAGGAAGGACTGGGATGATATATTGAAAATGATGAAGAAAAAAAAATTCCTATCTAGAATATTATGATCCAATGAAGAAATAATGACTTTCCCAGACAAACAAAAGCTGAGTTTATCAACACCAGACCTATCTTACAAGAAATGCTAAAAGGAGTTCTTCAGTCTGAAAGAAAAAGTCTTTAATGAGCAATAAGAAATCATTTGAGAGTATAAAACTCACTAGTAATAAATACACAGACAAATATAGAATACTCTATTACTGTAATTGCAGTGTGTAACTAATATCATAAAGATATGAGTAATTCATGAAGACTAAAAGACATATCTATCAAAAATAATAACTACAACAACTTTTTAAGAGAAAGAATATAAAAAGACATAAATGGAACACATTCTTCTTAGTAAAGCATCACAAGAATGGAGAAGCAAGAATCCAATGTACTCAATTCTAATATGAAGGCAGTAGATGATACAATGGGTAGGGTAGGGTGGGGGAATGAGGGATTGGGGAGAGGGGATGAAGGAGGGATGGAGAGGTCAGATGTATGGCACATCTCCTGGGTGCAGGACACAATTGCAAGAGGCATTTTACCTAACAATTGCAATCAGTGTAACATAATTCTTTGTATGCTCAATGTCCCAAACAATAAAAAAAAAAAAAAGATATAAATGGAAACAACGAAAAGTCAAAAAAGCATGGGGATGGAGGCTCGGTGCCTATAGCACAGTAGTTACGGTACCAGCCACATACACTGAGGGCGATGGGTTTGAACCTGGCCTGGGCCAGCTAAACAACTGCAAAAAAATAGCCAGGTGTTATGGCGGGCACCAGTAGTCCCAATTACTTGAGAGGCTGAGGCAAGAGAATTGCTTAAGCCCAAGAGTTTGAGGTTGCTGTGAGCTGTGATGGCACAGCACTCTACTGAGGGTGACAAGTGGATTCTGTCCCTCCCCCAAATAAAAATTTATATATGTGTTTGAGTATATATGGTAAAATGTTAGTAATTTTTTTTTATGTAGGCAGCCATGGAGGTATGGGTATTATTGTCCTTTTCTCAAAATTTTTCTCTATTTGAAATTCATAATAAAAAGTTGTAAGAATGGTGGCACCTGTGGTTCAGTGGGCAGGGAGCCAGCCCCATATACCGAGGGTGGCAGGTTCAAACCCAGCCCTGGCCAAACTGCATCAACAACAACAAAAAATAGCTGGTCATTGTGGCAGGTACCTGTAGTCCCAGCTACTTGGGAGGCTGAGTCAAGAGAATTGCTTAAGCCCGAGAGTTTGAGTTTGCTGTGAGCTGTGACATAACTGCACTCTACCAAGGGTGACATAATGAGACTCTGTCTCAAAAAAAAAAACAAACCCCAAAACCCAGCATGGGGATGAAATTAAAGTATAGAGTTTTTTAGTTTTCTCTTTGCTTGTTTGTTTGTTGTTTTCCTTTTATGTAGTCAGAGTCAAGTTGTCATCAGTTTAAAATAATTGGTTATAAGATATTATTTGCAAGTGTCACAGTAACCGCAAACAGAAACCTGTAATAGATACACAAAACATAAAAAGCAAGAAATTAAAATATACTTCCAGAGAAAGTGACTTTTATACAAAGTAAGACAGAAAAGAAGTTAGAAAGGATAAGAAGACTAACAAAAAACCCATGAAGGCCAGGCATGGTGGCTCACACATGTAATCCTAGCACTCAAGATAGATGGATTGCTTGAGCTCATGAGTTCAAGACCAGCTTGAGCAAGACTGAGACACCATCTCTGCTAAAAATAGAAAAATTAGCCAGGCATTGTGGCAGGCACCTGTCATCTCAGCTACTTGGGAAGCTGAGGCAAGAGGATTGTTGAGCCCAAGAGTTGAGGTTGCTGTGAGTTATGATGATGCCCCGGCACTTAACCCCAGGGCAACAGAGTGAGACTCTATCTAAAAAAATTAAA